ACAAATAAAATTGTTCAATAATAATAATAATAATAATAATAATAATAATAATAAGTTGTTAAAAGAAAATAAAAAAGAAAAAAATGTTAAGTTAGTGTTTTTATATGAAGTAATGACCAAAACTGTAATATTCATAAATTATAAGGCTATCAGTTTTTAAACTTAGGAACCAAAACTAGAAATCTGACCAAAACACAATGACCATTTGTGTAATTTACTTTTTTCTATACCGCAACATTGTTCCTTGTAATTTCATTTTCTTTATTTTAAGAAAACTATTGATGTCTATTTATTTGTTTCCGTCTAGAATGTGGAACAAAACATAAGTGAAATTTGATATACATGATTTTATTAATTTTTGTTTACTTTATATTATTTTTGAGTTCAAATGTTGTGGTTAAATATAATTTTAATATATCAAGTAAAGAAAAACTTACGGTTTTCGTTTATAGCAAGTTTTAAATAAACACTTGCTACTTGTTCAGTATTAATTTTCAGACAAAAAAAATCAATTACTCATATTCAAAGGGTTTATTCACTAAAAAAGAAAAATTATATACACAACACAAATTTAAAAGTTTAAACATACATCATTTGTTTGCTTAACAATTTTAAAAAATAATAATAATAATAAAAAAAAAATAAAAAAATAAAAGCATATATGCCGAACCCAAAAATCAAGAGGGAAATTTAGTTTTCCCAACTGCTTTTAACAACTTCGGGACAACCAGTCAACCCTCATTCATTCTTTCCCAATTCTCACCAATTCAACCTAAAACCCTAAATTCCATATACTCTCTCTTTCTAGGTTGAGTGTCCCCTTCAATTCTGCACCGAATTTCACTTTTTGATGGAGAAAAAGTTATACAATTAATACACAGAAGCTTCTTACTTCAACAAACTACCCTTCTCTTTTCAAGCCTTCAAAGTTGTTGAGAAAATGGGAAATTTTCTGAACGCCTTTACCTTAAATCCCCCACAATTCTCAACCGTCTTAGTATGGTTTGTTCAATCAATTCATTACGACAATGTGGGATTCTCTTGGAAACCTCTTCGTGAGGACGCAGGATAATGACGATGAAGCGCTCAAATTGGCTGCATTGCAGAGGTCTCCGACTTTTGTTAGGGCTAGAACTTCTGTGTTTAGGAATTTCGGAGGTGAGTTTACTCTTGTTGATGTTAGTAAGCTTGATGCTGAAGAGAAGAAGGTGGTGTTGGATAAGTTGGTGCATACAGTGAACTCGAACCCTGGGTTGTTCTTTGATAGGATTCGACAGCGATTCGATAAGTAAGTTTAGTTTAACAAATACTTCTTCTCTGTTATTCTTCTTCTCATCATCTTATCGTTATGTTTAGCATTAACAACATGAATATGTTATATTCAAAACAACTTTTTTTTGGAGAAATAAGACTTGCTATTCATGTACATTTCTAGTGTTGATCTCAAATTTCCAAAAGTGGAGGTGCGATTTGAAAACCTGGAGATAGATGCATTCATTCATGTTGGGAGCAGAGCTTTACCCACCTTGCCAAATTCTGTATATAACATGAGTGAGGTAGATTTTGGATGAATAAACTCGTATTTCTTTTTATTTTATTTTCTTAGGATTTGCTGTGTTGCATATTTAATTGACATATTACCCTGTAACACCTTTGCAAGGCTTTCTTGAGGAAGTTGAGGATTTTTCCTGGCAGAAGAAAGAAATTAAGCATTTTAAATGATGTTAGTGGCATCATTAGGCCTTCAAGGTAAACTTTTTTCAACAATTTACTTAAATACCCTCAAAAGTCAAAACTAGTCAATGTTAATTGGATATAAACTTGCAGATTGACTCTCCTCTTGGGTCCCCCAAGCTCTGGGAAAACAACACTGCTTTTGGCACTTGCAGGACGCCTTGGGAATGGATTAAAGGTATCTGAAATTTGTTTAGTTTTGTGAAGAATTAATGTTCATATTTATGATGAAATTTAAAAAATTGTTGCATTTTGTGAAGTTATCTGGAAAGATCACATATAATGGACATGAATTAAACGAATTTGTGCCTCAAAGAACTTCTTCATATGTTAGTCAGAAAGATTGTCATATGGCTGAGATGACAGTTAGAGAGACTCTTCAATTTGCAGAATCTTGTCAAGGTTTTGGTTATAAGCAAGGTAAACTCAAGGTGATCATACCATTTTTTTTTCTGTCTTTTATTAGATTTTGTTCCAATATATTCTATTTCAAGTTTCAACATCCCTAATGCATGAAATATGGTATTATGAAAACTTGATACAGATATGATTATGGAGCTTCTAAGAAGAGAAAAGAATGCTGGAATTAGACCCGATGAAGATCTTGATATATTTATAAAGGTGCATTCTTTTTTTTTTTTTTTGTGCTAATAATCCCTTAATTTTCTTCAAGACTGTGTAACTTTATCTATAATAAAGTTTATTTTTTCCTACAGACAGTGGCACTTGGAGAAGATAAGACGAGTCTTGTTGTGGAATACCTTATAAAGGTACACTTTTTAATGGTTTCAATTTAGAATTAATCACAAAAATGATCAAAATTGGTAAGTTCATATAAACAATGACCTTTTGGAAAATTTATTACAAATTGACCACTTGTTTCATGATTTTTTTGCAAAATACCTTTCTTCATGATTTTGCTTTTTCAGTGGTCCCCACATCATATTTCACAAAATATTAATCTTTTTCGCGAAAATGACATCAATAATGTCATTTCGGGAAAATTAATTTACAAAGTTATTTATTTATATTTATAATTTTCTTTTTCCAAGGTGGTCATTTTGTGATAAATGTTAAAAAGCTAGTCATTTGGTGTAATACCCTTTACTTCTTTTGATCATTTTTGTGATTAACTCTTCAGTTTATGGTTTTTATTTTGGGAAATTGTCAGAAAAGTCCTAATATTTTCAGGAAAGTTACACTTTAGTCCCAAGATTTTTTTTTTGAACA